ATGTTATTGTTCAGACTCAGTGTTCTCAGTGGCATCTATTATTTATTATAATGTATTATTTAGTAGTTTTTGTTTGTTTGCCTTTATCCTCATGCTTACATTTTAGCCATTGTTTATGAGCTGGGATATCTTGTTCTACTTATGAAGAAACAAAAGGGCAAAAAGATTTCTTGTTTGTCTGAAACCTTTTGCCTCCAACTATCCAACTTTCAGAAGCGAGCCTGCTGCAGCTGGGAGCATGAAATGAAAAAGATGTCTGCTCTGCTGAATGATGCATGGTTTCTTGACAACCTACCGAAACAGGCTCTCGAGATGCAGAACATGCTGATCTACCATCTACTATACTATACTATACCATACTATACTATAACTGTCTGCAAAAAAGAAATGAAAATAAAGGTCAAAACTTTATCAACAGGCACAACCATGTCCTCCAGCAGCGCTCCCCGACCCCCGGGCCGCGGACCAGTACCGGGCCGTTGGTCATGTGGTACCGGGCCGCACAGAAAGAATAAAAATATTTTATTTTCTGTTAATTCTGGCGAAGTCTGCAGGGTGTTTCATTTCGAAAAATGGGTCAGTTTTCACGCTCAGCCATGAAACGAAGCCGTCAGTCTAACTGCTGCCAAAATGAATAGAAAACAAACTTCTCTGGAGAGCGTCTTTGAAAAGAATATGAAACAAAGGCTTGTCTTACTTATTCTGCACTATTCTCTGTAGCATTGTGTGGCCTAAACTACATACCGATTCTTCACAACATTAGAGCCACTTGCCAGATGTTGTGTAGGTGGCCAAACCAGCTGTGACCTCACACATGACCTCTGGGGGCATCCTGTGGTGTCTGGCACTGGGACTTTGGAGGAAGACTGTTTGGGACCAAAGCTATGGGGACCTTGGTGGTCGGGTGAACACCTTGGACTGGTGGTCGTGTTCCTCGAGTTGTCCCCGAGCAGTGTTTGCAGTGTGGTGGGATGCATGGTTCTGGCTGCTGCCATCCGGGCTGTGCTGGGTCAGAGGGTGGTGTATGCAGCATCTAGAGAAATGCCAGGACTCGAGCTTTCCCGGCAGAAAACGAGATCATCAGTGTCACACACTTCAAGTCAAGTCAGTTCTATTTGTATAGCGCAGTTTAAAACACAGCGCTCAACATGGTGAGGCATGATTTAGTAGTTTTACTGGTCAGCGTATGGCTACATTAGAGTTNCAAAACACTTCACCACCTTGTCTGGTGTGGATGAGTATGAATGGATTGTTGAGGTGGTGGTCGGAGGGCAGAATGGCAGCCAGGCCTCTGTCAGTCTGCCCCAGGGCAGCTGTGGCTACAGCTGTAGCTACCACCACCGGGACCAATGTGTGTCAATGAATAACTGACAGTGTGAAGCGTCTTTGAGTGTCTAGAAAAGCGCTGTATAAGTCTGATCAATTATTATTCTTATTATAAGAGCGCTGTTAAAGTGCCAGACCAATCAGCAGCAGTAGTTAAGGTACCCATCTCTGTCTATAACAGGTGTGTGTAACTGACCTCTCTTTTATTCTTTGTGTTGTTCACAAATGTTCAGGTGGTTCCACCCCAACATCACCGGAATCGAGGCGGAGCAGCTTCTGTTGACCCGCGGCGTCCACGGCAGCTTCCTGGCCCGGCCGAGCAAGAGCAACCCGGGGGACTTCACCCTCTCTGTCAGGTAAGCTCGCTTCCTTTTTTATTTTAATCATGTGGTTCACCAGCAGCTGCACTGTTTAACCTCACTGTTCTCACAAACCTGAGAACAAACACTCTGCTGTCACTGTGAGAGGCCAGATGGGTGGACAGTTATCATTAAGGCATTTACATTTTAGAAAGTTACCAGTGATCACATTGACATTCATCCTTTAGGGTTAAACACGAGTTGTTCTGAGTGTTTCTATGGATTCTATTAAATCACATCTTTGGAAACATTTAGGCACAAAACAGCCAGAATATCTTATTCTGCTCGGCAGGGGCAAGCAGGTGTAGTACAGGTTCAAACTTTATTTCTTCATATTTCTCTTAGTTTCTTTAATGACGGGCCCTGGTGTGAGCTGTTAGCATGGTCGTGGTAGGAAGACTCAGCGCTACACTCTGTGGTGATTACAGAGCAGGAAACAAACTGCTCTGGAGGAAGAAAGAGCCTAAAGAGCGGCTCTTCCTTGACAACGGAAGCTTTTAGGAGACACATCAGTTGGCCGAGCTCCTGGAAGAAAGCCCAGATGCATTAGTTCCTCTGCGATTGTGGCCTCAGCTGTCATGGTGACGTAGACGCACAGAGGCCTGTGTGTGAGGCCGAGAGTGAAACAGAACAAGAGAGATGAAAGGAAGCCGGGTCACTGGAGCGGCAGTAGCTTTACCACCGTGGTACAGAGCGAAGGACCTGTAAGGGTTTGACCTGCGCCGCTGCCTGCGGTGTGTGTCTGCGGTGTCGTTAATCACACACACCTCGGATGTTCGTGGGGTGAGTTGTAGCC